CTATCTGACACCAGTGGTTTTCCAATTGCAACATAAAGATATGATTTTATAAAAGTAAACTAAATTTAAGATATAGCTTTTAAAAAAAAGGAGTACAGAAAAAAAGAAAAGACAGCTGGGCAAGGTCCTAGAACCTGGGAGGCCCCATCAGCTAAACCCTTCTGTGAAATGAAATTCAGGTGTGAATTTCAATCTTACCTCAATATCCAGTGTGAATACTTTGTTTCCAGCACATACGGCAACAACATGATCATCCGGGCTCAACTGTAAACACAGCACCTTTCCCAAAAGCGAGCCCATGACAGTCCCTCGAGGGACCCGCCCTAGAGTGAGTTTCACCGTTAGTGCCAGTTCACCAAATGCATTCAGCATTACATTAATCTGAGAAAAATACTGAGAATGTAACCCTCTGTTCTAAAATTACTGAGAGAATGCCAATGAGCCTTTGATGTGATTTTGATTCTCTAAGAATATCAAAAATACTGGATATAGAGAAGTCTTCTGAAAACCTGGGGAAGGCAGCACTTCCCTGCAGAGAATCCCTCAACATCAAAACAGGAAGACGCCTTCCTCTGGAGGCTGCGGTGCCCGCGCAGTGAGAGTCATACACATCAAATTGCGTGTTTCGATGCTTCTCACCCACATCCAACCCCACATCCATCCTCATGTCCAGGTTCAGCTAACATCAGTTGGAAGGAAGGGAGTAGAAGCCTATCCAACTGAGGCCTCCAGGGACTAAGCAATGGCAGGACACCCACAAGCAGCCAGGAGGTTAACACGACCCGGACAACAAGTGCAGCAGCTGCAGCCTGATGCACAGTCCGTCATGCAAATCCACAAAGGTGAAGGAAAACATGGCGGGCAAGGTCATCTGGTCCTAGTGTGCACCACGGACCTATCACCAGCAAAATGCAGATATACTCCACCCAGAGCCTGGCAGAGACACATGTGCACATGTCCCACAGCCACCAAGTCTACAGAGAGACATGTGCTCATGTCCCACAGCCACCCAGAGCCTAGAGAGACACGTATGTTCACGTCACACAGCCACCCAGTCTAGAAAGAGATACGTGCTCATGTCCCTACATAGAATACATAGGTTTATAGTCTCTTTGCATTTATGTTTTAACGTAATCCTCTAACTTCTCTATATAATTCCGTAAAACTCAAATTCCTTAATGTGGTCCCTACCTAACTTTTCAACTTTCTCAGATGAGACTCTCCTAACATCAGCACGCTCCAAGCACAGAGGCAGGTTCTCACTCTTCCCAGGGCCTTGGCACATTTGGGTCCATCTGCCAAAAGCACAGTCGCCTATCCCATCCCTTCTCACCCTCAGCCCACATGCCCCTCCCTGAGATCCTGTATCACAAAGTACCCCCATGTATGTGCGTGCTGCCCTGGCCTCATCTGCCTTCTCCACTGCACACTCACAATTCATAACCACTCGGTCGCTGGCTTACACAGGGTCTCTCTCAAACTCTGAGCTGTGACTTCCACAGGATTTGGGATCAAGCCCTTCCTATTCACTACTGGTCTCCAGCCTGAAATATTACAGGTGCTCAAGAAACCTTGCTGTGCAAGAAAAGAATATTTCAACTTTCCTACATGTTTTCAGGTTGATACAAAATTGACAGTTCTTAAAATAAAAAGGGACATAAGATCAAAACCAATGAGCCTGTAAGATCAGCATAACACGCAGCAAAGGTCAGTGAGTCTGAATGGCCTGGTGCCCTTCCCATATAAAGCACCCTGCTTGCATGCCTGGTTTCAAGGTAAAGGGAATACAAAATTATCCCAAATCCCCCTGAGGGATTGGTGCTACCCAAGAGAAACACCCTTGGGTGGTACCAAGTATACTGAAGGATGAGTTATTCCTTTTGTAGGTTTTTAAAAACAAGTTTTAGATTTTCATTTACCTTGAAGTACTTTCTCTCTACATTCATCCAGGTTCCACATCATAATGTAATCCAGCGATGCCGAGCAGATTAGAAGTGGGTTCACTTTATTTCCAAAAGCTATAGCAGTAATTGGCTGATGGTGTCCTCGTAAGATTAGAAGCTGAGAAAATTAACAAAAATAAAACACAGATTATAGACAATATTTAAAAATAACAGTATAACAACATAACCTCAAACTTAAGAAATTAAAAGATTGAGTTTTTCAAATACATTCATTTTACATATTCATTGTTAATTCATTTGTTAAAATCTCTGCTATGTACTACTAAATTATTCTTTCAACCATTTCACTGCTATTCACTGTGACACACACTAATAAAAAGATACAGCTTACCTCGTTCTTCCATTTCTTTATAACTTGTTAGTTAACCAAATATAGAATATGTCTCCACTACATGCCAGAAGAGGTAACAGCTGAGCTGAAAACTGAAGAATAAGGAGAGGAATGAGGGTTGACAAAAGGAGGGGAGCAATGAGGTCCCAGGGAAAACAAGGCATGGGGTAAGAAACTGCTGAGACAAGGAAAGGAGTGAGAGGAGGCTGGAGAAAGGTGAGGCCCAGGTGTGGGGACCTTGGCAACTACACAAGGAGTGTTGATAGCACTCTAGGAAATTAAAATCCAGCAAAAAAATGCACAATCAGAATAATACAGTGACTAGATTTGTTTTCCAGGAACAAAACATTCCTAAAAGTATGGAGCAGACGAGTGTTGGGGGTACACTGGGCTGGAGAGACAGATGGGAATGCATGAAAACACTCAAGGGAAATCCAGTAGAGACCTGGACTAAGATAGTGACAATGGAGATGGAGAGAAGATGATGACTGAAGATTCCGTGACCAATGGATATGGAGGGATGGAGGGAAAAACAAAAGCAAAGGGATACGGTTTAAGGTTAAAATCCTGGGTGAACGATGCCTCAAGAACAAAATACAAAGGGAAAATGGGATGGGACTAGGGTAGATCATGGTCCATTTGGTCCATAGTAAGTTGAGATGCTTATAAGGTGATGTTAAATAGACAATGGGCAGTTTGATATGAGAGATATCACTGGAGAATTCCACTTCTAGTAAAGGCAGGATACATCACCTCATCAGTACCAACCCTACTGATGAGAATTACAAGAAAAACTGGACAAAATTAAATATATACACACACACACACACACACACACATACATATACACACACAGAGACACACATTTTGAAGGCATCAGAAAGCAACCAAGTCATGAAGAATTATGATAACAAGATTACAGGGAAGAAAAAAAATGAGGGAAGTGACCCCAGATGCTGGGGTCACTTGTCCCATAAAGATATCTACTATAAAGAGAGTCTTCTGACAATTCCCCCAAGGCAGTTGAGGAGCTGAGATTCAAGGGGCTAAAGGCACAAAAACGGTATAATCAAATGAGACATCTTCAGGGACACAGACAGAACTATCATATTGGGAGATGGGCAAAGATTTCTGTCACCTTACAAAGTAATTTTGAGAGACAGCTGACTGCCTTAATGTTGAGAACTCTACATTTTTTCCTGTAAAGAAATACGAATGGATTTTAGTAAATGTCTGCCTAGAATACAATCTACTAAGGTGAGAGGGATGGGCATGCTGCTAAACCCCCCAGGCTTAGAATGGGAACCCCAAAAAAGACAAAATCCAAGGAGTAAAGATAACTGTCAATAAAACAACCCTCATAAGAACTGACACCCAGCTATGAATTGTCTTAATACCTGACTAGTTCAGGGTAATCCAGGACTGCCAGTGCCCTAAACATGACCAGTGACCAGAAGCTAACATAAATTTGATCTGGAAAAATGTAAGATAATCCAGAGTATCAAATCAGCTATACTTTTTTTTCATATATAAAGTCCAGCAATCTAAAAAATAACCACGGATTCAAGGAGACAAGACCATTTAGTCAAAAGCAAAGAAAAATAAGGAATAGAGAAATGCAATGCCTACAAGTCATCCAGATAGACTTGAAACCAAACTAAAACTGATCCAAATGTTAGAATTACTAGACAAGAACATTCAAACCATTATTAAAAGTTTTTCCATACATTCAAAAGTTGAGGCATAGAAGATATTTAAAAGTCCCAAACCTAATTTCTAGAGATGAAAAATAGAATTAGATACCATTTCAAAAAACATTTAGTAGGATTAACCACATATTAGATGTTGCTGAGGAAAAGACTGGTAAATTTAAAGATAAAGCAATAGAAAATATATACAAATGAAAGAGAAAAAACACATTAATAAACATGAAAGAGTATCAGTGAGCTGTGGGAAACTTCACATGATCTGACATACAAGTAAACAGAGTCCACAACGTTTGGGATGAGGGGAATATTTGAAGAAATAATGGCTGAAAATTTTCCAAATTTGATGAAAACCATAAACCCATAGAACCTCAATGATAAAGTTTGGATGTCCCCTCCAAATCCCATGTTGAGATGTAATCCCCAGTGTTGGAGGTAGGGCCTACAGGGAGGTGTATGGGTCATGGGGGCAGATCCCTCATGGCATGGTGCCATCCTCATCGTGGTGAGTTCTCACAAGATCTGGTCATTTCAAAGTGTGTGGTACCTCCCTCCACCCCTTGCTCCTGTTTTTGCCATATGCCATGCCTGTTTCCTTGGCCTTCCGCCATGATTGTAAGATTCCCGAGGCCCTCACCAGAAGCCAAGCATTTGTTGGTGCCATGCTTGTGTCAACAAAAGAATCAAACTCTGTAAAATATTTAAGAGATTTATTTTGAGCCAAATATGAGTGACTATGGCACATGACACAGCCCTCAGGAGGTCCTGAGAATATGTCCCCAACGTGGTTGGGGTACAGCTTGGTTTTATGTATTTTAGGGAGGCATGAGACAGCAATCAAATACACTTAAGAAATACATTGGTTTCATTAAATACACTTAAGAAATACATTGGTTTCATTCAGAAAGGCAGGACAACTCAAAAGCTGGGGCTTCCAGGGTATAGGTAAATTTAAACATTTTCTAGTTGACAATTGGTTGAGTTTATCTAAAGATCTGAGATCGATAGAAAGGAATGTTCAGGTTAAGATAAAGGATTGTGGAGACCATGTTTTATTGTGCAGAGGAAGCTCGCTGCAGACTTCAGAGAGAGCAGGCTGTAAAATTTTTCTTCTCGGACTTAAAAGGGTACCTGGCTCTTACTTGATTATCTCCTGGATCTGGGAAGGAATGAAGGAAAACAAAGGGGAAACGGGATTCTCTAGAGAATATGGATTTTTCCCACAAGAGACTTTGCAGGGCAATTTCAAGGTATGGCAAGGAAATATATTTTGCGGTTGAATATTTTTTCCTTATCTCATAATGTTATGCCAGAGTCAGATAGAAAAGTAAGTCATGATATATAGGGTCAAATAAAACCCATCTAATGATAATTTGTGGTTTGTAGGGCATGACTCCCTAGGCCCCTTAGGTAGGAATTTGGGCAAGATGAAAAATCAGAGTTTAGTCCTCACTTGTACAGCCCGCAGAGCCATGAGTCAATTAAATCTCTTTTCTTTATAAATCACCCAGTCTCAGGTATTTTGTTATAACTAAACTCTGACTTTTTTCTTCTCCTGACCAAATTGCTATTCAAGGGGCTTAAGGATTCACATCCTAAAAACCATAAAGTCTCCTCTGAGGGGTTTTGTTTAACCCTATATAACGTGGCTTACTTTCCAACCTAACTCTGGTATAACATCACATGACAGATAAAGAAGGGAATTAAAATATGTTAACTCCAATTATGTTTCTTTACTATATCTTGACATAGGCCTGCGAAGCTGTCTCTTACAGGGAAAATCTACATTCTGCAGAAGATTCCCTTCCCTTTGTAGGCCACTAAGACTCTGGCATTTTTGAAAAGTCTAATAGATATTTACAATCTATTCTCTCGGAAGCCTGCCACCTGGAGGCTTCCTATGTATAGTGGGGACCTTGGTCTCCACGATCCCTTATCTTAACCCAGACATTCCTTCTATTGAGTCTAGGTCTTCAGACAATAACTTAACACTTTCAACCAATTGCAATTTAGAAAATTATTGAATCCACCTATGCCCTGGAAGCCCCCACTTTGAATTGTCCCACCTTTCGGGACCTAAGCAATGTATATATTACATGTATTGATTGATGTCTTACATCTCCCTAAATTGTAAAAATGCAAGCTGCAGCCTGACCATTAGGCACACGTTCTCAGGACCTCAAGACTGTGCCTCGGGCCATTGATCACTCGTATTTGACTCAGAATAAATCTCTTCAAATATTTTACAGACTTTGACTCTTTCACTGACATAGCAATTCATGAACGGCCTAATACAGAAAATTGGTACCAAGAAGTGAGGCATTGCTATAAAGATACCTAAAAATGTGGAAGTGGCTTTGGACCTGAGTAACCAGCAGAAGTTGGAAGAGTTTGGAGGGCTCAGAAGAAGACAAGAAGATGAGGGAAAGTTTGGAACTTCTTAGAGACCGGTTAAATGGCTGTGACCAAAAACAGTGATAGTGATAAGGACAGTGAAGTCTAGGCTGAGGAAGTCTCAGATGGAAATGAACTTACTGGGAACTGGAGCAAAGCTCACTCTTGTTATGCCACAGCAAAGAGCGTGGCTGCATTCTGTTCATGCCCTAAGGCTCTGTGGAAGCTTAAACTTGAAAGTGATGGCCTAGGGTACCTGAAGGAAGAAATTTCTAATGAGCAAAGCATTTAAGATGTCTCCTGGCTGCTTCTAACAACCTACAACCATATATGGGAGCAAAGAAATGTCGTAAAGCTGGAATTTATATTTAAAAGGAAAGCAGAGCATAAAAGTTCAGAAAATTGGCAGCCCAGCCATGTGGCAAAAAGAAAGTGTTTTTGGTGAGAGGAATTCAAGCAGGCTGTGGAACAACCATTTACTTAAGATATTCACGTAACTAAAAAGAGAACCAAAGGCTGATAGCCAAGGCAACGGGAAAAAGGTCTCCAAAACATTCCAGATGTCTCGAAGGCAGTCCCTCCCATTATAGGCCCTGAAGCCTAGGAGGAAAGAATGGTTTTGCAGGCCAGGGCCTGCTGCCCCACACAGCCTCAGGACACTGCTCCCCTCTCCAGCTCTAGCCTCAGCTCAGAGGACCCCAGATACAGCTTGGGCTGCTGTTTCAGAGGGTGCAAGCCACAGGCCTTGGTGGTTTCCATGTGGTATGAAGCCTGAAGGTACACAGTGTACAAGAGTAAAGGAGGCTTAGCAGCCTCCAGCTAGGTTTCAGAGGATTTGTGAGAATGCCTGGGTGCCAAGGCAGAAGCCTGCTGCAGGAGTGGAGCCTTCACAGCGAGCTTCTACTAGGGCAGTGCCAAGGGGAAACGTGGAGTTGGAGCACCCGCCAGAGTTCCCACTGAGGCACTGCCTACTAGAGCTGTGAGAAGAAGGGCACCATCATCCAGATCCCAGAACGGCAGATATTCCAGCAGCTTGCACCTGCTCCTAGAAAAGCTGCAGGCACTCAGTAACCAGGGAAAGCAGCCACAAGGGCTGAACCTTGCAAAGTCACAGGGACAGAGCTGCCCCAGGCCTTGGAAGCTACCCCTTGCACCAGTGTGCCCTGGATGTGGGACACAGAGTCAGTGGAGATCATTTTGGAGCTTTATAATTTAATGACTGTCCTGCTTGGTTTCAGATTTGCACGGGGCCTACACAGCCCCTCTCTTTTGGTCAATTTCTTCCTTTGGAAATGGGAATGTTTACCCACTACTACACTACAATCCCTTTGTATCTAGGGAGTAAATAACTTGTTTTTTATTTTACAGGCTCATAGGTGGAAGGAACTTGCCTTGTCTCAGATGAAACTTTGGACTTAGGACCTGGGACTTTTGATTGAGTTGATGCTGGAACAAGTTAAGGCTGAGGACGAGGCTCTGATTTTTTTTTTTTATCTTGCCCAAATTCTTTTCTAAGGGGTCTAGGGAGTCAGGCCCTACAAACCATAAATTCTCGTAAGATCAGTTTTATTTGACCCTTTATATTGTGGCTTACTTTCCAATCTGACTCTGGCATAACAAGGAAGAAAATCAAAATGTTTTACCTCAAAATATATTTCCTTGCCATACCTTGAAATTGCCCTGCAAAGTCTCTTGTGAGAAAAATCCATATCCTATAGAGAAACCCCTTCCCCCTTTGTTTTCCTTCTTTCCTTTCCAGATCCAGGAGATAATCAACTAAGAGCCAGGCACCCTTTTAAGTCCAAGAAGAAATAATTTACAACCTGCTGTCTCTGAAGTCTGCTGTCTGAGAGCTGACTCTGCACAGTAAAACTTGGTCTCCACAATCCTTTACCTTAACCTGAACATTCCTTTCTATCGATCTCAGATCTTTAGACAAACTCAACCAATTTTCAACCAGAAAATGTTTAAATTTACCTATAGCCTGGAAGCCCCCGCTTTGAGTTGTCCCGCCTTTCTGAATGAAACCAATGTATTTCTTAAGTCTATTTGATTGATGTCTCATGTCTCCCTGAAATATATAAAATGAAGCTGTGCCCCGACCACCTTGGGCACATGTTCTCAGGACCTCCTGAGGGCTGTGTCAGGGGCCATGGTCACTCATATTTGGCTCAAAATAAATCTCTTAAAATATTTTACAGAGTTTGACTCTTTTATCGACAAGACTTTGGGGGACTGTTGGAAAGACATGATTGTATTTTGCAATGTGAGAAGGACATGAGATTTAGGGGAACAGGGGTGGAATTATACAGTTTGCATGTCCCCTACAAATCCCATGTGGAGATGTAATCCCCGGTGTTGGAGGTGGGGCCTGATGGGAGGTTTTTGGGTCATGCTGGCTCATCCCTCATGGCTTAACACTGTCCTCACCACAGTGAGTGAGTTCTCATGAAATCTGGTCATTTAAAAGTGTATGGCACCTCCTCCTGACCACTTGTTCCTGTTTTCACCCTGTGAAGTACCTGCTCCCCCTTCGCCTACTGCCATGACTGTTAGGTTCCTGCGGTCCTAATTAAAAGCAAAGCAGATGTTGGTGCCACGCTTGTACAGTCTGCAGAACCATGAGCCAATTAAATCTCTTTTCTTTATAAATTACCCAGTCTCAGTTATTTCTTTATAGCAATGCAAAAATGGCCTAATACATACAAAAATAAGAAATATGAAGAAAAATACACCAAAACATAAGATGAACAAATTGTTCAAAATTGGTAATATAGAAAGTTTTAAAGGCAGCCAGACAAAAATAACCCAGTGTATACATGGGAACAAACATAAAGATAATAATAGAATCCTCACTGAAATGATAGAAGAGCAACATATTAAAAACCTGAAGAAAAATCTGTCAAACTAGAATTCTCTACTCAACATAAATGCCTTTCAAAAACAAGGCAAAATAAAAACATTTTTAAACACACAAAGGCTGAAATAATTTATCACCATACTTGCACTGAAACATATGTTAAATAAAATACTTCAGGCAGAAGGAAAATGCTACCAGACGGAAACATGCATATACACAAAGGAATGAAGAGCACCAAAAATATAATTACGTGGGTAGATGTGTAAGATATTTTTCTTTCTTAAATTTAAGAGCCTTAAAATTAAAAAAGAAAAGGCCGAGCGCAGTGGATCACGCCTGTAATCCAAGTACATTGGGAGGCTGAGGCAGGCGGATAACAAGGTCACGAGATCAAGACCATCCTGGCAAACATGGTGAAACCCTGTATCTACTAAAACTACAAAACAAAACAAAACAAAAAAAATTACCAGGCATGGTGGTGCGCACCTGTAGTCCCAGCTACTCGGGAGGCTGAGGCAGGAGAATCACTTGAATCTGGGAGGAGGAGGTTGCAGTGAGCCGAGATTGTGCCACTGCACTCCAGCCTGGGTGACAAGGCGAGACTCCATCTCAAAAAAAAAAAAAAATTTAAAAAGAAAAATGAAGGTATTTTTCTTATTGTTTAAATATCTTTAAAAGATCCCTGAATGTTTAACAAAAGTAATAATGGATTGTCAGGTTTGTAGCATACGTAAAAGTAAAATGCATGACAACAAAAACATAAAGGTTGTGAGAGAGGAAATGAAAGATATACAATACTAACATTAATGAAAATAGAAAGTAGCCAAAGATTTCTGAGCAAGAAATATTACCAGGGATCAAAAAACAATGTCACTTTATAATAAATGAAGTGATTTCAAGAAGACATAAAAAATGTTAAACACAAATGTGCTTAATAACAGAGTTTCAAAATACACAAAGTAAAAACTAATGGAAGACAAATACATAAGTTCGCAATTAGAGTCATAGATTTTAATATGTCTCTTTCAACAACTGATTGAACAATTGGACATGAAATCAACAGAATATAGAAGACTTGAAGACTATTAGCCACTTTGACCTGACATTTATAAAACAAAAGACACAAACAAAATTTTCCTAATAGTGTTACTTGCAATAGTCAAAAACTAAAAATAACCTAAATTCCGACCAATAGGAGAATGCATAAAATATAGTATATCCATACAATGAATATTACTCAATAATAAAGAAGAATGAACTACTGAATGCAACAACATGGATCTCAATTATCCTGAGTGAAGAAAGCCAGACAAAATGAGTAAATATCGGATATCACCAAGCTGGTGAAATAGAAGCTAACCCACTCATATCCTCCGACAATAAGAAAAATTCTGTACCCATCCATGGTCAAAAGTCTCTCTACAGGAGCCTCAGAATTCAGGCTGAAGTTGTGAAACCCCAGTGGAGTCAAGATCTTAGAAGGTCATTTCGAGAGTTCAGACCCACACCTAGGTGGCTGATTCACTAAGCACGCTCTTAGCTTCAAGCCCAGAAATGGCTCAGTCCTCCAAGGGGCTTGGCTACCACCTCATTTGGCCTTCAGCCTGCAAACAAAACCACCAGCCAAAGACTCTGGCAGGAATCACACACTCTACTAACTGACAGAAGGGCTCATCTGCCTGTTGACATTGGTCTAGCCAATGAACCTGAAAGCTGCCCTGTGGCTTGGCTCTAATTCCCTCATCTGAGGTCCCAGGTAAGAGCTGCTTACACAAAGACTCACAGAGAGACTCGCCCATATCTTGCAACCTGGGAGTCTCAGCCTCCCTGACAGGCCTGCCACACTTCCTCCCATGACCAATCCTGAGGGTACCCAGTCTCAGCTCTGGGCTCTTCTGCTGCTATCACTTTTTAATTCCAGATCACTTGTGTTCTAAATATAAAAATATTGTAAAATAAAAATAAATTTTAAAATAAAATAATACAATGTTTTTATCGATATTTTTCTCCCATAGTTGGTAGCTGAATCCACATGGAGAGACAAGGGCAAGGCTTTCATGATACTGGACTTATAACTTGTTCAATACCTGATGAGAAGGACTCTTCGTGTTCCATACACAAAGTTCAGTCCCATCCAAAGGGAAAGCACAGTCTTGCATGCTACAAGCAAGCTGAACATGAGACACAGACTCCTTGGATTCAACCAGGTATTTTTCTATAACTATATCACTTAGACAGCCACCATTACTTGAGAAAATGTCCTGGGGATTTTCCATCTTCAATCTGAAAACAAAAAGTACATATAAGATGACTACAGGTATTATACTTAATATAGGAAAAAAGTCTATTACCTATTGATAGTTACTAGTTTGACCACACACACATACCACATCATACGTATTTATTCACCTCTCCTCACCCCAAGAAAAAACAAGAGAAATCGCTGAAAACTCTGGAGGTTCCACATTCACAACTGCTCCATTCCTCTTATGGGCTTTCCAATTAAGCAAACTTTGACTCAAATTCCACTATTCCCACTTAACAGACCTTGCTTAGGCTTTCTCAATCAGCTTCCACAACTGTAAAATGAGAACAGTTACTGAGAGGCAAAGACTAAACAATGATCCATATGGCATCGGGGCAGCGCTGGCATTTAGCATTCTAAACGTTGGTTACTGAAATGACTAAGACACAAAGTTATTTTCTGAATTGACCACAGCAAATCAGTTGTTAGGGAACTGCAATTGGAACCCACATCTCCCATAGCTAACCTGGGCTTTACTGAACAATTTCACAACACCCTATGTAATTACAGTTAAGCTACCACAGGTTCTATAATCAGTGATTCACTGGCTATGTTTCATAAAGCATAAACTAATGAAACACTGACAATAAAACATTTCAGATCTTCATCCAACTTTACACTTAACTTCACAGCATAATCACTTCAGAAACATGCAGGAATGGCTCTGGGGTCATCCTTGATTCTGTTGTATCCCACAACCCACTGCAGGCCAGCAATCAATGCACTTAAAGGCACAGACAACAGACCTGCTTAGAAAGTGATGGGCAAGCACCCAAACATCCAGCGGGGTCATGCAGGCTGTGGGTATTCAAAGCTCCACCCGTGCAGTCCTCATGCTGGCCATGTGGATTCAAAGGACCACCCGTGCAGTCCTCATGCTGGCCATGTGGATTCAAAGGACCACCCATGCAGTCCTCATACTGGTCATGTGGATTTGAAAAATCCACCCCTGTGCTCCTCATGCTGGCCCTGAGGGATTCTGCTAACCCAACCTCTGCCTGTCTTCCTCTTCACCGCCTCCTCCCTCCACTGCTACTCTTTCTACTTACCCTTTCCTCCAGCTCTTACAACACAGCAGGGCTTTGATTGCCTCAGGACGCACACTTTATCTTCATGCTCCATTCCTCCTCCTCTCTGCAACTTGGGGGCTCTTCCCATTTCCCAGGTCTCAGCAGAGGCCTCTGAGAGCTGGCTCCCATCCCTGCCCCCCACCCCATCTACCTCCTTCCCAGCACTTCATACCATCTAA